GACTCACTGTCACATGTGCTGGATCACTGATGCTTCGAGGCTGTTTTGTTGCAGGTGGCCCAGGAGCCTTTGTGAACATCAAAAGCATCACAAAGTCCATGAAATACCAGGACATTTTAGTCAAAAACCAAGCTTCCTCTGCCAGAAGGATGAAACTTGGCCATGGATGGACCTTTCAACAAGATAATGACCCCAAGCACACATCTAAATCAACACAGAAATGGTTGCCAGGATTCATATTTAATAAGATTTAATCTCAGTCTGCAGATTGGAACCCTACTGAGAGCCTGCGGTGTTGAAGAGGGCCGTCCACCAGCGTGAGCCCAAGAATGTTAGAGAATTGGAGTTACACTGCAAGGAGGAATGTCCAGTGTCCCTCTACAAGGGCTCTCAACCGAGATAAAAGGTACAGAGAGAGAGTCGGTGCCGTCGTCCTTGTCATTAAACTAGGGGTCGCCAATATTTGTGAAACCTACATCTTCCAATTCACATGGTATTACTAAATCATGTTCTTTGTTCAAAAATAACTACATTCTGTTACAATGAAACACAAGACTTGCACTATTGCCCCCGTGGTTCATCCTGTACAGTAAGATTTAACGTTCATGAGGGTTGCAAATAATTCTAGCACTGAGTGTAAGAATCAAGACAAGTTTACGCTATAAAGCACGCTAGAGAAACACGTTCCTTTGCCCACATGCACTAGAATCCTGATGTATCTGCAGGAGGAAATGCAGTGAGGCGGCAGCCGATTGGTGCTCTGCAGAGTCCTACAAACCTGAAGGACTTCCCTACACTGCCTAGACCTCACCCCCGTCACACATAGCAGCTGAGTAGAAAAACGCCCCAATCTGGCCGATATCAACTCCATCTCAGCTAAAAAAAAATATATGATTTCGTAAAGAAGTCAAAAACCCATCAAAAATGACCAGATTTGCCCAAAAGGTGTGGGCCATACAGTGAAGATCGAGCAGCTCTGACTTTATTAGCATGATACATAGTGACTGAAGTGGCTCCAAACCTAGCTGCACTGTTTGTTGTTTATTACTGTAATAACACAGAGGCATGATTTAATAACTTTTCCAATAATCAGTAAAGCTCCAGTTATTTCATTTCTGAAAAACTCGTTTCACTGCTATTATGGCCTTAACGAACAGGGATGAAGCAGGCCGTAATCTGTCTGACACAATTAAAAAATATATATATTAGCGAGAAATTTGTTGTAAAACAATGTGTGTGCTGATGACTGGAGGTGGATTTTCTGTGGAAGCAGCACCAGCCACGCAGAAGCCTGCTGCTTGTAACTAACGTCCCAGTGCGATTGCACAGATGTTGCAATACATACTGACAGAAAACACCAATAACTCTGATGTGGGGGTGCATCTCAGGAGGGTTAAGTGGCGATGTTTCTGCCGATTTCCTCCTTCTGTTTCTCGTTCATTGAACTAGGATTTATACCTTTGTATGTTTTGTCTGTATCCTTGGTATACATTGGTTAATGAACTTTAAATGTCATTTCAATTCTGGAAATAACGTACTACTAAAATGTTGCATTTTGATTTGCAGTATCTGAAATGCTTCTCTTATGCATCCCTAAGAGAACAGAAAACCTATGACAGAATTCCTTGTACTTCCCCGAACATTTAGCTTGAAAAACTCTGTAAAGATTTTCATCTCGGAAAATGAATTTGCTATTATTTCTGATAGGGACCTTTAGATACCCCTACCAGATTAATGCCAGGGAAAACTGAATGAAAATAAGCCAACTGACATCATCTATAAAAACGCTATAAATAATATATAATATAAGAGACATTTGCTTATGTTGGCTGGTGGCTACAGCTATGGCCTGGATTGCAAGCATTTGATGAAAAGCCCTTACTGGAACCACTGGACAACAGAGAAGGCGATTCAAACATTTTTCAGGATAATAATGATCCCTCTGTTCCAAGTTTTAACAAGAGAAATCTACTCGGACGTAATCAATTCTAAGGCTATAAGCACTCAACACTAAAATCCAGTATTTTTTTATAAACTCCAGTATTTGTATGCATTCCGTCAGAAAAGATGACTGGCGAATCAATCTCAGTTCAGAGCACCATTCATTTATGTTTCCATTAAACTGGACTCTTCACTATTACACCCAGGATCAGCTTGCAGATGTAATATTTCCTCCTGGTTGTTTGATGATACATCTGCACTAAAGGTCACTTTTGATTAGAGGCTGAATTGGAATTAATGGCTATTCATATTATTTTCATTATGGAAAACCTAGTGAGGGTCCTCGCTGAGGACACCAAGATCAAACACACGAGAACGGGGAACAATCAGAGGCACACGGCGCCTCCTGCACCAGTCCTATAGCCCAAGCCCTGATAGACCCCACATCTCGTCCAAAGCCATGACATTGATTGTTGAGGGTTCCAAGAAAATTGATGTTCTGCAGAGGTTCTGCAGTTCTCTCTGTCAGTCATTAATCACCTTGGAACCGGGAGGCTAAATCAGATTTTGCAGACATATATATATTGTGTAAAAGCTTTAAAAAAAAAAAGCATTTCACAAATGACTAGAGGCCAGTGCAGGGCTAACTGTGTCATTATGTCAAAAGCGTGAAAAAACAAATACATTCATTTTATTTACATTTGAATGTAATTAAAGAAAAACTCCAGCAGCTCAGTAAACTGAAATGTGATGGTGGGATTTCACTGGGATATTTTTATTTTTCTATTTTACCTTTTTTAAAAAAAAAAAAATTATTGCCCCCCCCCCCCCCTCTTCGGAGGACAACTTTATTTTACATAAAATTCAAGAGCAAAGAGTGTGGCCTTTTTAAGGATAAATGAAGAATCCAAAATTGGAAGGGTGAACAGATGGAAAAATACAGAATTTGAGCAACTATGGTCACTTGACCCTCTGTGAGGAGACCTGTGTGATGGTTCTTATGTTAGGTATGAATTAGGTTTAAACTTCATTGCACTATTATTGGTAAATATTTCCTGAACGCCCTTGTGAACAATGCAGGAAAACGTGGCCCTTGCACTGTGCATGACCTTGCGAGGGAACCAGGCAAATAAGAAGCCTCTATCTCTGTAATTAAATAAATGAAATGATTACTTATAAAATCCTAAACCAGTGCAGCAAACCCTAAAAGGCTCCAATTGATCTGAGAGATTTTGGATTTTAGCTAAAACCCTACAGCCCCCCGAGAAGCTCCAGCGCCCCCCACGTACCACTTCATTAGCATGGTGGCCCATAAGGCGATGGCCGTGCCTTGGAAGGGCATGCAGGGTGACGGGGGGCGGCAATGCGGCAGCAGATTAAGCACCATGCCGCACGGCACAGCAAACAGCACTCATGGGAGAAAGCGGAGTCTATCTGAAGCCTGAGTGATTCTACAGACACTGCAGCAGCATTCCGGGGACCAAATCTGACAGCAAGGTGTGACATCACACGCCGCCACCTGCTGTAATGTCTGCCCCCAGGGGCACGCCGTCAAACGGCAGAGACAGAGACGTGCTCCCCGGCTTACAGTCAGTTCTGTCTTAATGATACAGCACAGTGCTCTCGAGACTCAATACCTTACATAGACACATAAATAAACTGGAACACGTTCACGCTACTGACATTTAATTTCCAGTAATCAGCTACATGCTGCTGTTGCATGTTATGTTATGACTGCTTCTTCTGTGTGTCTGTGTTATATATATATTACGTTGTGGGGACCGAATGGGACCAGTTTTTCGGTCCCCACAAGGGAAAACTCAATTTTATAAAAACCAGTGACTACAATCAAAAAACTAAAAATGCCTAAAGTCGTTTTTTCCGATTACTTATGGTGCAGGTTGTCAGAGTTGGGACTATGGGATTTTCCCCATAGAAAACGAATGTAAAGTCCACATTAAGAGATACATGCAAACGTGTGTGTGTGTGTGTGTGCTCACACTGTTCATAAAGACAATTTCACCTGGGTCAAAGTACATGTTTTCCTGCAAAATAAATGGAGATTCTGCTGGAGCTTTTTGAGCTTTTAAGAAAACATCCTCTTTTAACTCTCACTGAGAGATTCCAAATAAACGTCTCAGTCATAAAGGGAACAAGCTGAAATGAACCATCTAGTGATTAAGGCCCCAGCCATGTGTGGTAATGTGACCTATTCTCTGAAGATGTTAATGGGAGCTCCTGGGAGTGAACTGGTGTGCGGCGTGGTGAGGAAGGCCTTCACTGGCTGCACAAACGCTCGGATCCTTAAAGGGCATAAACTGGCAGGAGTGCGTGCTGCGCCCCCCCCCTCCCGCGCATTGAGACATCCGAGCACGTAAAGCCCGTCTGTTTCCCCCCCGACCGCCAGCAACAGGATATGAAAGATGAGGCGATCGCGGCTGGGCGGCCAAGGAAGATGGGCGCCTGCGGCAGAACAAAGGCAGCGATGGATATCGGGGGCGCGGCGCGGAGCGGAAGGCGGCGCCATCGTGACGCACGGAGCGTTATTTAGCGCCGCTGCCGCGGGTCGCGGGCGGCCGGCGGGGCGGGAAGGCGTCAGGGGGCACCCCATCTGTCTGTCCGTCCCATGCGACCCGAGAGGCAGAGCTGACACACGGGGCTCTGGGTTGCAAAATGGGCTGTTCAGAGCTTAAAATCTGGGACACAGTTCAGCCACGGGTCACGGTGCGAGGGCACTGCGCCAGTGAGCTTCATCGGGCCAAAAAAAGGAAACGACGACAAACATGACTCTGTCGCTTCCCTCACACTTCCTCTCACACAGGTTTGCTTTTCTGTCTCCCTTGGGGCATCACATTGATTCTCACTTAGCTGCAATTATTGCATTTCCTACCCCCATTCAGACGATGTTCTCTAAAGGGTGTTAGTCCCGTGATCTGTGATGTGATTTTATAATTATTTTTTTTTGGTGGGGGGCGTTTATGAAGTGTTCTCTCCAATTTGACACAATCAAAATCGCAAAGGGAGGTAACAAACGAGAGAAAGCAAATGGGTGCGAATGATAAATCTTTCACTTTTCAGTTTCCCTTTAATGTGCTTTTTCAAATCCTGCCAATCACACCGACAGAAAGGTGGCTTTTGCCGCAGGGTTTGTAAAAAAGACGTCTCTCTCTTTAAATGTGTTAATTTAAAAGTTGTAGCACCAATGTCAGGCCCTTGTGTTCTAAGGTTTCATGACCTGGATGGAGGATTCGCTTTGGTCACGTGGGTTTGGCCCGCTGGCTGGGTGGGGCCATTCCACCTGCCCCATCCCAGGACAAACACTCTACGACAGAGGAGCAGGAGGACGGCGCCTGCTCAGGGCCCGGTGCCTTTGAGGCAGGCCTCCAGCCTCCACATGTAGATAGCCAGCAGCGGGAAGTCCGCCCATAGCCGCAGCACGTTGAGCTCGAGGCGGCTGAGCACGGAGCTCAGCGAGGGGCTCTGCTCCCAGGCCAGCCTGCTCCGCTCCCCGCTTTCGTCCAGAAGAAGCCGCTCCAGGACTTGTAGCAGGTAGAAGCAGTTCTCGTACCGAGCCACATCAAACTGGCCAAGCCCTTCGCCCAGGTTCTGAAAGAGATCGACAGCACCAAGGTCAGGGCGCCATGAAAACCAGCCCCATCACATGCCGTCACTGGCCTGATTCTCTTTACCCACGACTGTATCTACCAGTCTGGGTCTTTTTTGGCAAACCAGCGCTGATCCAGCACCATCTGGTCCAGAGACCCTGTCCGGAGTGCACTCAGGAGAAAACACGCGACGCGTCACTATGCAGCCACGGTGCCCCAAGAGCCGTTTCTCCAGGTGAACACCTTTAACGCCCTGTTTTCAGGCTACATAATGACTAGGCACATCACGCTCTTAAAGTCTCACAAGAACAGGCTGGTGTTTTAAAAAGGCAGATGCAATGTGCTGTTGTCGGAATTGAACAGAGTGTATTTTATGTTCCTCTCTAGACGTTCAACAGCTGTGCTGCTTGGACACTTCAATATCTGCCCATCTGTCAATTCAACAGCAGCCTACAATATTGCTAAAGGGAGGTGAAAGACTGGAACTGTTTCCGAATCGCACAAATTAAATAATCATGATAACATCATATTTTTGGGCTGAAGGCATTTTTATTCATAAAGTGACGATTCCAGATAATCTGGCAGGAACCACTTTATCAAGAAACGCATCATAAAGACTTGAAGACATAAAATCCCACGGTCAGCAGAGTGATGTCACCCTCGATCAAGGGCCTTAACCCCAACAGCTGCAAGGACTGACTGATTTTCTCAGCTGCATGCTGTTTTGGATAAAAGTGTCTGCTAAAGAAACAAATGTACAGAAGAAGGGATGAGACAGAGCAAACAGTGACCAGGAAATGGTTAACTAGAAAACACACAGGTGCAGGCTATTCCCTACAATACCGGCAGACTGCTAGCATAGAGAGTAATGTTCATTCCTGGCAGAAAAACAGCAGGATGTGAAAAGCAGAGGCATTTTTTTAATATGCAGAGCCACAAATAAGCAACATCTTCTCCTCACTCTAGACACTGAGCTTCATCTTTTTTCAACATCTTTTGTTATGTATGTTTTTATTTTTCTCATAAGGTCACCAGAGTAGGAAGACGTAGCGCAGAGGACCTCTTTGTTCATCCTCATTCTGTCCCCAGTGCCAGCCACTCAAACAGCACTGGCAGGAACTCTGGGGGATGCTGACCTGCGTGGGTTCCTGCAGCCGGCTGTGATTTTTTCCCTCCTTATTGGATGTCAGGCCCCGAACGGCCCCTCTCTCCCTGCTCTGATCCACGGGAGCTGCCGCATAATGAGAACTCCACACGGCAGCCGGGATTGAAACGGCGCTGGACGCAGACGGCGTCTGAGAATCCGCCGTTGAAGCCCCGCCGGGCGATGTGAAGCCCCTGTGACATTTAAGCAGCCGAGCTGATTGGAGTCCCGGCTCTGAGCCGTGCGGAGATCTCGCTGGGCTATGGCTGCTCCGGAAAACACGACGGGGCCTGATAAGCTCCCCGCCACAGCAAAAACAAAAGCGGCTATCCAGCCAGGTCACCAAAAAACGTAATTACAAAGGCCTGACTCAAAAAAATAGATATTTCTGTCTCTGAAATGGGGTGGGAATACTCGGTTGGATGGACGTGGAAGCACGGCATCTCTCTCCCCAAAACCGTCTTTGAAATCCATCCCCATGTAGGAAACCAGGAGGCGCTGATCTCAGGGGACACCAAGCAGCAAAGGCCGGAAATATTTACATTTAAAAAGCTGGGGGGGGGGCCTGACGCTGCGTGTGAGCTGGGCCTGGGGCGGGGGGGGTTAGTTATTTCAGCATTTCCTACTGCAGATATCAATCTCTATAACCCGACCTATTAGCTAGGGCTATTGTCACTGGTATTCAAACTTGAGAAAATAAATGGAAACGGGTAAAAAAGAAAGGACACATATTTCATGACAAGTTAACTTTTAACTTATTTCACGGTTGGACCGCATGACAAGTCACATGACGAGTGACGCTAGGCAACCTTTAGCCAATGAGGAAGAAGCCAGGCAGTTCTGTGTTAAGTTCACCGCTTGGGCTTCTCTTCGATACTTCTTTGGATGGGGCTACTCTGCCCCCCAGTGAATTATGGGCATCTCACTTAAGAGGCATTGCTGTGCCAACCTGTGCTTTTGGTGCAGATAGAGCATCTTAAAGACACAGAGAACCTTAATCTAGGATCTAGATCTAAACTCCAGGTCTCTGTGAAACTAGACACTATATTGTGTCTTTAATTTAAAAGAAAATGGGAAAACTACCTCTAGGTTTTCTACACCTTAAACAGCCTCTAATGGTATCAAGACACATTTACTAGCAAACAGAGACAACTAAATAGAAAAACACACTACATAAGCGTCCGATCATTCACAGCAAACCGTTATCTACTTAAAAACATCCTCAAGCACTTCAGCAGAATCCCTGTACACACGGATAAGGTCTCGCCTCCACGTTGGCTGAGGAAGTGAACTGACTTCAAAGCAGTTAACCGCTGGCGATGAGGAGCAGTGAGGAGGGACAGCAGGAATAGGCTGCACTCTAACGTGCAGAGTCGTGCAGAGCGATCTGCCCAGCGCATACAGGTGCTGAGCAGACCTAAGTGCCAATGAGACTGGGGTGGGGGGGGCAATGACATGTCCCACAGGAGTCGGGGAAGGAGGAATGCGGACCCTCTGCTGGGAGCCGCCAAGGGGACGACCGGCTCCGTAACAGAGCGAGTCTGCTGCGCGCTCAAAGGACAGCCCTTTGCCACGGACTTAACACTCATTTAAATGCATAGGCTTTCTGTGCGCGGCCCAAGGCTTGCGGAGATCAACCCCCTCCACCCGCGGTCGGCTAACAAGCCCCTGGCCGGGTGCGGGTGCGGGTGCGGGCTGCTCAGCACTGACACGCGATGATGATGCCAACTTCTCATCATGCAGGACAAACAAACACGTCCGCATGTTACATCTACAGCTCAGCCTTCAAAAATACATCTGCTTCGTTTGATCAGCTCCTGACGCAGTGAAGGCAGAAAATAAGAACCAAGGAGATACAGCAGCTCTGGGCTGTGAGATCTGCTTGCACCCAGCTGCTGTGTGCAGAGTCTCGCCCGGTTAGACGGAGCTCCAAGTCAATGCACTGCTTCAAAGCACAACAAAGGATGTCATGTTCATCCTTAAACGACACCGAAAATGAGGGCAAACCACAAACAGCCTTAGTGCAAAGAGCACATTCATAAATTGAATCACTACACACAAAGCAATGCAATACTAAATGCAATACTAAAGCAGGCAATTTTGTGTACTTCCTGGCAAGCTGATTGCTGAACATGGCAAAAAGCCATGTGATGGACTTACCGCGAGCTTCCTTGGTCTGTTTTGACATGGTGTCCTCCAAGAGTGACTTCAATTGTGCACAACATTCACAAACCATTGCACTTTTCAGCTCTAGTGCCATTAAGACACTAATGTCATATAAATGCAATTAATAATGTAAATGTAATATGACTTTTGTAACAGACCTGAAGGTCACAATATTACCACATCCAGCGCTTTGCCAAATCATTCCCTTGAGAAAATCATACACTTCTCTGATAAGATTATGCATTAATCTTTTTCTCCAAGTGATATTTCAATTCAAAATAATAATATGTCAGTTTTATAAACATATTCTTTTAATGCTGCTTGCATATGTACTCAAACCTTTGAGCTGAAATTTTACTCCAAGTGTGTGTCTCACTCCAGCTTGATGCAATTTATGCCCATTCTTGCTGGTAAATCTGTTCATCTCCCCAGAGTTGCTTAGAAACAACTTGCGGACAACGGTTTTCAAGTCTTGCCACAGATTCTCGGCAGGACTCAGATCAGGACTTCCACTAGGCCACCCTAGGGCACTCGCTGCCTTCTTCTGAAGTCACTCCAGCGCGGCTCTGGCCTTGTGATTAGGATCACTGCCCTGCTAAAAGATTACATTTTGCCCCAATTTTAAGTCTTCAGCAGGCTGAAATGGGTTTTCCTCAAGTATCTGCCTGTAATTTGACTGACAATACTTCCCTCAGTCTTGACAGGCTTTCATAGTCCCTGTTGATGAACAGCAACCCCTTAGCCATCAGGCTTTACTGTAGGGATGATGTTACCTGGGAAATGTATTGTGTTGAGCCTTGTTTACTATTTGTAGACTACAGTTCAGTATTTAATACTTTGATCCTCTCAAGACTTTTTACCAAGATTCTGGGCAGCTGGACTGTAGACATTCTGAATGGCACACACTAGGATGTAAACAAACCCATCTCCAACTTGATCCTCAACACCCCTCTGTTCATAACTGTGTGACAAGACACAGCTCCAATTCCACCAGGTTTGCTGATGATGTCACCATCGTGCGACACAGCACCAACAACTGTGAGTAAGCCTACAGGAAGGAAATCTGGCTCTTGTCTAGATGTTGTGCCAGAATAACATCAGGAAGAACAAGGAGCTAGACATCGATTTCAGGGAAGCTGGAGGCACAACTCTCATCCACAGTGCCAAGAAAGCTTTGGAGAGTATAAACATGCTTACATTCCTAAGTTCTTGAAGTGTTCCTCACACACAACCTCAAAACCAAGAGCAAACCAACGTGAATATGCCTTCCAGATGATGCCAGGAGCTCTCAGCAGCTTCCACACAGTGGAATCCATTCTCCCTGGATGCATCATACCGCGGTATGGAACCATCTCAGAATGGTACCCCGAGGGTAGTGCAGTCTGCTCTGGCCATGACCACGACACATCTGTGTTCACTTCAGGAGATGTTCACCACATCCTGACTCAGAAGGGCGGGGCAGCGCTGTCAAAGTTTTCAGTCACGCCGCACACTCACTCTCGTCCCACCTCTGCTTTGAGGAGACGACCCAGGAGCGACAGCACAAAAATAGCTTCTACCAGGAAGTCAGAAGGTTCCACGACAGTGCCTAGGTATAAAACACAGGTGCACTGCAGACCTAATGAGTCATCTGCTCACCAGTCAACACATAATTTCAGTGTCCTTTATTATATAATTCAGTTGCTTTGTAT